TGGTATTAATGGTTAAGGACGCTGAATTATCACGTGTTTGAATACCACCTGGTAACGGCTCGCTTGATGGCAAGACATTCAATCGTTTATTCAGATCCGAAAGCGTTGAGTGGATCGGGCGATGCCTTCCTTGTTTAATTCAAATGTCTTTTAAGTATTCTAGTCTTGTCATTTCGGTTAAATTCCAACAGAATAATAAGACTGCGAACTCCTCACTCAATCACACTCAAAGCTTTGTGATCAGGGCTAGAATGAAGGCTTAGATAGCTTGCCATTCAGCAAGCCGTTGCTAATTGGTATCCAAGCACGTGACGAAATTAATTCTGCCTAGGGCGCTTAATTGAAGGTGTTCGCTGCGGATTTAAGTTCTCGCTCTGGCGACAGAGTGGATTTATCTCTGCAACTGTTCAGACATGCTCATCTCTGATATAGACCAACTCATTCTTGCCCTGATGTATTTAGATTTGAGGTTATTTTGGTCTAAAAAATTGAAGGTTAAGATTACCCGTGTCTTTAATCAGCTATAAAGACACTCACTGAACATTAATTTCCTTTGTTTTTCGTTATCAATTAATGAATTTTTGAACGTAACGTAATCAACAAAAAGTTGGATGCGAATTCATAGTTTTTGTTCATGATAAGTATGAATTTTTAAACAATTGCTCTATGCCAAACTCAAAACCTTAAGATGTTTTCTTCTTAATACCTTACTTTCGTGGAGGGCTTGAACTCCTGTAGCCGTAAAGTCGAGCTGACTTTTTCGCTCTGTTGAGTGCATCGAAGCTTCACAGATTGCTCATCGTTTTCTTAAGAAACCACCAACAATTAACTTGAGGTAAATATTTGTTTATCAACATGTTGCTTTGGCAGCTTTGTACATGCAGGCAATAAACAAAGTCAATCGAACGGTGTTATGTGAAACATGAAGATGACTAAATTAAATCTAGATAAATGTTATAATGCCCTGTTATAGTGAAATGCGCGAGCTTTCAAATTAAATTTATAGCAATATAATCATGAAATATTTCTCGTTGTAAGAGTTTACATCGTAAGGAAATCCAGAAGAAATTGTGTTAATTCGCTGTGTTGTTGTTTTTTCGGATTCTTCACTATTGGCTACAGCAGATTAAATGTCTTAATATACTGCACCAAGGCTACGAAATCATCGATTTATAAAGGTGGTTTCTAATATTTCCGAGGTCATTTAATATTGTACGAAATGCTCACACACGCGCGTACATTTAACACACCCGTGGTAAATATGTTGCCTATACAGGCCATTGCGGTTAGTTCCCTTTATGTCTAAAAAGTGCTGAATTGTTAACCCTGATGATTTTACAAAGGTATACACCATATTTTTTTAAATTTAAGTTCCATTTTAAGCCAAGCCCATTTGGAATATTTGTCAGGAATAGTTCATATTTTTGGTTAATAATGATCTTTTCCAAAATTCCTAAAGATTTGTATCAGAAAACTTAATGTTGAAATTTGCCTGCAATCAAATTGATAAGAACGTTCTAACTCTTTGCTTGCAGGGAAGCAAAGAGATAATGTATAACAGATTCTCAAGCACGTACAGTACACACACAGTGGGAGAGAAGGAAGCCTATGGGAGTGGACTGCACTTCCTTAGCTATACCAAAGATACGAAATTATATTGATTTATTATTTAAAAAAGTGTGTTTCCTGATATTTCCGTCTGAAGTCATTAAATATCCAGTGTCTGAAATGCTGAACACACGAGTAATATAACTATGTTATACAAACCATTGAGTTAAGTACCGTGTCTAAAATGCTGAATTTATTGCGTATTGAAAGTAAATAATAAGCTGACCCATCGTTCCTTTAATTGCCTGAATTGTTTAATTCTTTCAGGTATTCTCTCAATTGGGTGCATGAGACACGGAAGCGTCATGCCCTAACGAAATTTGTGTTTCCTTAAGTTTTCAGTCCTAGCTGTTTGCAGCGTGCAGCGAGGTTTTCTTGCTGTGGCAGCTGATTGGACAGATCATAAAAACTCCCTTTACCATACCTTTAAGCAAATGTTTCGAAAAGGAGAAAAATCAAAAAAGAAAACAACCAAAATTAGACCTACCATATATGATAATTGCCTGTACGAGCTGTATTAGGACCAATACCGAGAACAAATAAATCCTTGCCGTTGTTCAAACACTGAAACTGTGGCAAACAACCGAAATAGACCTACCATATCTTCTTCACATTTGGTTACGAAGCGACAACAAATGCATGGTTCATTGGATTTTCGAGGGTAGGTCAGTTGCTCACGTCATTTAATTGTCATAGTAACCGCTTGTAAAATACTGCATGAATGAAATGCCCTTCAGCTAAAAGACTCTCAAAAGATCGTTTTCAGTCACGTGGTCAGTAGCTTTGCAAATTGCTTGGAATAAAAGAAAGTTTTAGCATGTGAAAAGAGTTTTTTGCACACAAACATTCATTGTTTTGTACACAAATATGGCCGCCGTGACATTAAGTGAAAACCATCTATTAAAAATTTTGATTTCGAATCTGTTCATTGACACACCCAGGCTAGGTTAATAAACGTAAATTGGGTTTACCTTATTACATGAAATTTTCGCGAATTTCGCGATACAAAAAAAAAAAGAAATTTAGTATATATGCAAGTAAAGTCATTTATATAGGAAAGAAAGTAAACCAGCTAATCGTGAACTTAGCCACTCTTTGTCTGAACTCAGTAATACACATTCTTCATAAATAGAGCACATTTTTTCTAGTTAACATTTGCACTTTCTCTTTCTTATCTGAAATGGACTCTTGATATGCATGAGGAACAAAGTTGACAAAGAATGTACGCCTGCCACGAGTGAAGTTTAGCAATTTATTTTACTGGGATACGAGAAAGCAGTGACAAAAGAACGAAATAGTAGAGAAGAAAAAGTTTGCAAACAAGTCAGAGGTTTATACTACAGACACAAATCAAAATTGGAGTTAAACATTCGCGTACGTTGTATGTTGTTGTATGTTCATACGGTCCTGATCTGAGAACGAATAAAGAAAACTCAATGTTGAAACGAGCATCCTGTTCACTGGGGAATTTATTAACGTCAAAGAGCAAGAAAACAACATGCGAGTACACGTTCCCTGAGCACAAGTATGTTTATCATGAATTTATTGACTAACTGATTTATTTATTTTTAATTTTTTGTCAGTCTAAATTTCAGATTTACAGTTATGGTAAACTTGAAGCAATTTCCATTATACAGAGATTATTAAATCGTTATAGCGAAGCCGTTAGATTTTCTAAAATATACCCTTTTGTAACTACAGGTAATTTAAATTATTCAGGCTCAGACCAATAAAATTCTTGAGTGATGTCTTCCGTCGGTGTAGAAGTAATCGTTCGTCAACAGCTAAATGGCCATATAGTTCTCTTCACCTAGAATCCTAGAAGAATAAAATGTAGGGATTAGTAAAATCCAACTAGTGGTCTATTTCCAATGCCGCGTTCTGATTGGTTGAGCTACTACTCGGCTATATGTTATAGCCCAATAGTAGCAAAAAGCGCCGTCTTTGAAGACCAAAACAATGACGGCTGAATCGCGTTTTGCTAGCTGAAGTTGTTTTGTCTCGATATTTTTGACCAACTATAGTTGGATTTTGCTAAAACAATTACTCCTCTCGCCCCCATGGCCTCTGAGTCAATAGCCCATTCGGCCTTCGGCCTCATGGACTACTGACTCAGAGCCCAGTCGGGCTCGAGGAATAATTGTTAAAAAATAATGCTTTGCTAGTGTGCTAAGTCTTCGTGCTTCTAGCCTTAACATCGTGTTTCGGTTTTTCCCATTATTTACTAATTCTCAAAGCTTGCGAAAAAAGAGTTCACAGGGAAACTTTGCGATTATTGATAAATCTCAGGGAGTTGTTAACTGCTGATATCAACATGGCAAAAGGGAAGAGTATAAATTCCTCACTGACTTGGTCTTTGTTATCGAAGCTCCCGGATCGGATGACCCGGTGAAGCTTTGAACTTGTGTGCTAAATTCTCAAAGTTCCTATTTTTGTCCGTGTCTTCTTTATCCTTATCTGAAATTTAGACCCCTAAAGTGGCGTGTGTTGCGTTAAATAGAAGGAAATATTTCATCTCGATTTGGGCTCATCATCTCGGGGATTGCCGGGATATTTCCGGATACTGTGATGTCATTGACAACCAATCAGAGGCTACAAAATGAGCAGGCTGCGAAATGAACAATTGAAGATATAATCATCATTATTTTCGAATTCGGTGCAAGTCGTAATAAGTTGAGTAGAATATGGCAATTCTGCTGTCCGTCGACTAGAATAAAAGTGCAAGCAGCACTTACAATTTCTCTTCACAAATAATTTTATTTATTAAGAATTTATTCATTAAGACAAGTATTTGCCAAGTAGTGGCAACAGCGGTTCTAGTTAGGCTGTACGTAAACTTTACTATTGCGTCCAACTTCAGTTAGATTGTTCAATTTCAATTGTCTCTCTCTATCTTTATCTCGAAAAGGGCATCATTACATCAATCCTCTGTTCACATGATTCTAAAAAAAAGAAAAAAACCCTCTACATCAAGAGTTTTGAACGTTTTTGGCGTTTTTGCTGCTGAAGTATCACAATTTCTTCTTTCCAACTTTATACAGGCCAAGGCTAAAATGAACATCAAGGCCATGAAGGCCAACGCTAAGCAGTCAGAAAAAATTCAGTCTGCTCTTTCTTGTTTTTGGTAGAGTGGAACTAGGTCACTCGTCAACTCAGGCAGAAAGTGATCAGAAAATACATTCAAGGTCGAACACACCGGCCAGCGTAAGGCAGTCAATCGTGAAATTTGTTGGTACCAGTACCTTCGGCGGTTGCTATGTTACCACCAGGGTTAACCTTCACCGGCGAAAAATGTCTACGCATGCTCTGCAAAAAATGACACGTGATCTATTTGGGGCAATGTCATTGGCTCCGAGGCAAAAATGCCCGTGAAATGTTGTTGCGATAAAAGAAGCGATGGCAGCTTTTTGTGGCAGTGACAGCGTTGCAATTTCTTCCCACTGTAAGAGATCAAAATTATTTTGGTCGACGTTTTCACGGCAGTGTGTTTTGTAGAGATTATAGCGTCCTCGAACTGGCGAAAAATCGCAGTGGCATGGTCTGATTCAGTGTTGTTGACGTTGAGTTCGCTGGTTTGCATGTGGAAGACATGCCGAAAAGGTGGGTAATTTTTACTCTCATTGTTTACTGCGTGTTCCGTGCAACTCGGTACAAAAAGAAATTATAAAGTAGTGGAAGAAAAATTATTGGTCTTTGTTTTGGTATATAAATAAGCTTGTACCGAGTTGCACGGAAGCGACAGTTTTGTTAAATGTGTAACCCGTTTTTGTGGCAAAATTGGACTTTGATTGTGAAGCTAACATTCGATTTTTGGTCGAAGAGCGTATTAGTAGAACGCTATCCAAAATGTTTTTATTGTTTAGTTCAAGTTTCTTATCACGGACTCCAGAAAAAAAAATGTAGAGGAACAGACATTTTTGGGCTTTGTTTCGTAAATATAACTTAGATTGTACTTTGTTAGCCTGACTATCAGGCCTTCCTAAGGGGCTACGGGAGAGGCGATTTTATCCCTTTTTCGCTTCTATCTTTTCCCTTTTCCTCCAGAAACGCCTGATACTCAGGCTAGTACTTTGTTGCTGGAAAACTGTATTTAGATGCTAAATCCCCGTGTGTTTACACTGTTTATGGAAGAAAAATAAGCTTACGCTTGGTTCAACTTTCCACTCGGTACAAAAGGAAATTACAAAGAAGGTAAAGAAATATTCTTAGCCATTGTCTTGCTGTGTAAATTGTCTTGTGGCTAGTGGATCGAAAGCGGCCGGGTTGCAGCAGTTTTCTAAAGTGCGTAGTTCGAAACGTGATTATGTCGATCGATGCACATTTCACTGTTGTTGCACATTATTACAGCTTTGTATGTTACAGAAATTTGAGTTTTATCCGAACTGTCGAATAAGAAAATGTGAGAGTGTTTTCACTAAAACGCTTCGACCGTGTTGGAGCTACAGTTCGATAGGTCCAGCAACATTCTGATTTGTAAAAAAAAATTCTGTTTACGATGTGTACAGCTGCTGTACATTTAGGCTTGCAATTTTGTAATTGAAGGATCGAAGTTTAGATTATTCTGCTCATAAATTTGGCTTGGGATCATCTACACAACGAGTTACTTCGTTAGGAACCGCACTCTACGGACATGATTTCCTCCGTGTACAATTTTTTAGTACTAAGTTTTTGCACACAAGGCTTTCCTTGGGGGTGCTTCTTTGCTTGAAAATTGGATCCTGCAAGGAGATGAACAGTGTAATGTTCCTGTGAGAGCTTTTGTTTTCCTGTTCTTCGTTTTCGGCTTAATTTTTTTTGGGGCAAAGTTATCAACGAATGATATAGTTAACATGCTATTAAGTATTCAAAAGTTATTTCCAAGAAAAAAAAAAATCACCACTTGAACTTACAGTAGTTTATAAGAGTTGGACATCAAAGAGAAAAAAGAAACACTTTCCAAAGGACTTTAACAATGAGAAAATTTTTTCGTTATCAACTTAGAAATTGTTAGTTCAGAAAACCTACGTAGTTTATTATAGTGAGTCCGCACTCTTTGAGTCCCTTGGAGATACTAGATTTTCTTCGTGATTATTTACAAAGCGAACAGCTTGATTTGCTTTCCTCCCTGCAGATAGCTGTTTCAGACAGGACGCTGAATTTTGGACCTCTATTTTCTTCTGGCGTTAGTTTAACATACTGTGATCTTGTTGATGAAAGAGACACGGGTTAGACAAGGATTTAATTCAATGAAAGCAATGAATAAGTTTTTGATAAAAGTACGGGAAAAGGGAAAAAATACTGATTGGTTTTATTCGTCTCATTTTAATTTATAACTAGAACATCCAAGTACATTTCAACCAATTTTCAATATTGTGGAGAGCAATACATTTTTTTTTCTCTGATATCTTTCGTTCAATGTTGTTCGAAGAAAAAAACATTATTGTAACCTGCTCATTGCAAGTCACTTAATTACCTGAACAACGATACCAGAGTCATCACAGAGAGAACGGCGAAACTTGAGAATAGATTAAATAGGAAAATTGAAACAGTAAAGATTAGCCTGCGAGAAGGTCCTCTTTTGGGGTGAGTTAACGATCGAGCAGCACGCAAAATGAGACACGATAGCGAGGTGGGGAGGGTCAAGGGCGAAAGAAAAACCTCTCGCCACTTACCCACGCGTTCTCTTGCGGATCGCTCCGCCCACCACTCTCAGTGGGGGGCTTGCATCCAGGCTATTATCTTATCCATAATAAGAAATAATAATAACTGTTGTCGTATAAAGACCGTCTAACCTTTGTCACCTGCAATTCCCTGGAAAGTGTTTTGTTACAACCATAAAGTATTGTTGTAATCGTGAGATGTAGCGTTCTGTATATCTCATTTTAGTCTGATACCTCCTTATCCCCCACATTCCTGTGCAGTATGTCAAGAGCTCCACTTGCTTTGGCGATCCTAGTATCTAATTCATCATCGATGACAACATTTCTAGATCGGTTGCGGCTTTCCAAATCGGTAAAAATGACCATATTTAGCGGGTGTTTACATGACACCTGGGCGACTTTCGCGCCGGTGCGAGTTCACTCTGATTCCCTTTTATGGCTCTATATTTGTTAACGTGATATCCCCAGAAAATGTCATGCCGGCGCGAGTCACCCCGGTTGTTGTACCGGGGCGGGAATTTCACTCCGGTATGAAATTTGGCACCGGTATTATGTACACGCAAAAGATTACCCGTTTCGGTGTAGCGCATTTGTAATGTTTGCGATTTTGAATTGCACGTGTATTTTATCAACATGAAGTGTACCTTGAAATACCCGAGATATGAAATGATCCATCATCATGTAAACGCGATACGAAATAAAAAAGTCATTGATCCCGGTATGAAACTCGCGCCGGTGCGAGTTTTCTGATGTAAACACTCCCTTAGTCGTTGCCCGTTGATGATGATATTAGGCGGTTCATTTCTGTTTTTTTTTTTTCATTTCCTGGAGCTGGCTGATGCATTATTTTTGTATTTTGGTGCTTGTTGTAAGAAGATGAGTCCTTTTAAGAGAGCGATCTTAGGGGAGACAGTTAATTAACACATTTTCAGCAATTGCACTACATTTATAATGTTGTTGCCATAGCAACTGTCCTATGTTGAATCCACTTGGCGTCTGGATCAAGTGAGGTTTTTTCTTTCGTTCAGACTATCGTCATCACCTATGACTTCATTGCACTTACAATCCGTAAGTCTGCATTCAAACAAAAATCCATCCAACTTTAGACAGAACGATGGTCTTCATTATCATCAGTTCAAGGAAACATGGAGCCTCCTGAGATGACATTCTATTTTTATGTATTCAACTGAGGAGAGTAGGCCCAGGGACAAACCCATGTGGGACACCATGAGTAAGAGTATCCGACTGTTGGTCCTCAGGAATCAGCTTTTTTCTTGGCCAGTTGTTTTTCATTATTGCAAGGGTAACATGAGAGGAATGTAGGAAATTTGTACCTTTTCTGCTTTTAAGCTAACCCTCGTTATCGGTTTCAATATAAACAAGGAAAACTCAAACAAAATATACAAAACTTTATAAAATTTATCTGCACACACTATATTATAACGTATTTGAATTACTGTGCCTAGGCTAAAAGATCTCCTCTAATGACCACATGTACCTCTTTCAAAGAGGAGTCCTACTTTTATATCTGAATTCTTTCCTATTACGACTCTTTTGATTTATAATATAAATAGAATCACCATGAATACACACACTTAAGAGTCATAATTGAAACTGCTTATTAACATTAACTATTGAATACCTAGCAAGACACACGCTTCACTTCACGCATGCCCAAAGACACCCTAAAGTGGCAGTGGCAGCCACTGGCTTGTTCCTTGTTAAGTGAACCCTCTGTTAAGTTATTTTTTAGTAAGGGTTACAATTTCGCAACGTAAATGATTACCTTTGAATTCATGAAATCCTGAAAATATCACTTCGATTAAGTACAAAAAAGCACCACAGAGGTGATTGCAGGCTATGAACGATTGTGGATGTTTAAAGGGTGGAGGAGATAACGACTCATGCATTTGGTATTGGGAAAACGTGGTGCGTAACTGACTTGTCAAGTTTTGGTTTTAATTGAAAGAACACTATTGTACTGTAATATTAGTTGGCATTGAAACACGAAAGTTGCAAAGGCGGCAGACTGATATAAACTGATCGGTGAGATATTCAAACAACCTTTCCGTCATGAAGGCAAATAAATCATATTCGATTAAGCCTAATAAAAACGAAAACCGGGGAGAATATTGCAAACGGTCCTATTTTAATTAGTTTTCAATAAGTTTTCAATTCCTGTACTTTATATCTTTTAGCTTTTTTTTCTGTTGGATTTTTTTTTTCTGTCGGATGTGTTGGAAGATATAGATAAGGAAGGGGAGAAAGGAATTGAATGGCTGTGCCGAAATCAATCAAGCACCCAGAAAATTCGCCCCATTTAAGAAAATGCTCATTCCGAAATCCGGTAAGTTTTTTGCTAATGGAACCCAGAATCCTAGGATTTGAAATTTGGAATATAGTTAAAGGAATCGGGAATCTCGCTAAAAATTCAGTTCAAGTCACAAAGACTCCTGAATCCAGTACCTAGAATCCAGAATCCACGGCGTGGAATCCAGAATCCACGACTGTCTTGGATTCCTTGACATGTGGCGAGAGAATGCTTCATGCGGACAGCGACTTACTTAAATCGATTGATTTAGTCAGAAGTGTCTTTCTTTGCTTCATCGGCTAATGGAATTTTGTAACCTCTGGTTCACTCGACTTTATTAATTAGATGCTACTGTAAAGGTCACTTTAAACATGCGATTTCAGTCGTTCCATATAAGACAACCTTAGATAAATCTTATCCTTATCATTTATTCAAGTGTAAACTAGCGACGATTATTGTTCCATAAAAGTTTCTTTGATCTTAGCGTCGAGGAGAAGGTGGTTTATTCGAATGGAGCATAATACAAAGACATCCTGTGGGAAAACTTTATACTGATAATAACTATAATCAGAAATCGCAAGTGTAAACCGACCTTTCTCTCAGCGGATAAGAGTTGGACATTAGAGAGAAAAAAAGGACTTTAACTAGAAGAGACTTTTTCTTTATCAACAATTTAGAAACTGTCTGTTCAGAAAACCTAAGTGGTTTGTTACAGTGAGTCCGCTCTCTGAGCCCCTTGGAGATACTGCATTTTCTTCGTAATTATTTACAAATCGAACAGTTTGACTTGCTTTCCTCTCTGATAGTTGTTTCAGACAGGACGCTGAATTTTGGACCTCCATTTTCCTCTTCCGTTAGTTTAACAGACTGTGATCCTGTTGATGAAAGAGACACGGGTTAGAAAAGCCTTTAATTTAATGAAGGCAATAAATAAGTTGAGAAAAGAGCCAAAAGCACGGGAAAAGGGAAAGTACTGATTGGTGTTATTCCTTGTCTTGATTTATACGTAGAACATCCAAGCAATCCAAGCAGTTTTCTAACAATTTTCAATATTATCGAGAGCAATATATGTTATTTTATTTATTTGCTCTCTGATATATTTTTTTTTCAAATATATTGTTCGAAGTAGAAAACATTATTATAACTTGCTCTTTGCATATCTCACTTACCTAAACAGTGATACCAGAGTCATCACAGCGAGAACGGCGAAACTTGAAGAATGGATTGAAAAGGCTGTCGATTAAATAGGAAAATTGAAAAAGTGGGCAAACTGAGAAAGAAACGTTTCTTTGAGCACTGAACATTGTTATCACATTAGCCTGCGAGAAGGTTTTCCATTTGGGGAAATATCGGTGGGTAAACTATCGATCAGCACGATACCGAGGAGGGGAAAGTCGAGAACGAAAGAAAAACCTCGGCGCTTGCCTGCGCGTTCTTTCGCCGATCGCTTAGCCAACCAATCGAAGTGGAGAGCTTTCTCCAGGCTTTTATCTTATCCAGAATAAGAAAGAGCAGCAAATGTTTTTGTATAAAGACCCTCTAACCTTTGTCACATACAACTGATTGGCAAGTGTCTCTTCCTTCACCAGGGCAATGTCCACTCTCTGTTTTTTCCTTACGCCAAAATCCCTCGCAACTGGAATCGGGAGTGCAGGTTTTTATTAGAGTAATGGGGCCTCCCGCATTGCAGCATTTTTGGCATTCTCCACTTTTGGCCTCGTAGCCCACAACTGCACCTAAAGAAGAACAAACATTATTATGTGTTTGCTCATGTATCACGCTTGGGCGGTGGCTAAATAACGGCGGAGGCACTCTTGAAAAAAGTTGGTAACACCCCTAGAAACCGCAGAATCTCGTTTTGCAGGCGTGTCTGTGGGCTTGTTTTGTAAAAGAAAAACATTAAACCTGTATTGACGATAAAGACTGTGATTCAGTTGAGAGCAACAAGTATACATATATATGTTTTCATTTTTGGTTTCAATTCTCTTAAGCTTTTAAAGTGCCAAACTCCAACATTAGGTTTCGGGAACCTTCAGTAAGGGTTCATTCCTGCAATTCACAATTTTACTCCGTTAACCGTAAGACGCCCTACCTGTGTTTTTAATAAAGACGTCCCCAGGACGGCATATAAATGGCATTTTATTTAGAATAATTTTTTTATTTATCATCTGATTTAGTAGTGTTCCTTAGTTCAAATTATCTTACAAACTCTTTCTATATGAAAACTGCGCAAAATTAAAACTATAAAACTTTCTGAAGAAAGTCACACCAAAGAACGTAAACGATGCCTCTCAGAAAAATGTCCCAGACAGATACAAGAACAACTATATTTGCTTCGAGGGCTGTTAAGAAACTTGCAATGGAATTTAACGGAAATGTCAACCCAGTAGCAGACTCATGGGAAGTAATTAAAGTGGAAATAAGAGCCAAACACACAGTTTTTTCTTGAGCAAATTTAAAATCTCTTACACGACAGCTCCGATCAACCTGAACACATTGCCTGAAAAATTTTGGAGTTATCGGCAAGAAAATGTGTTTCCTCCGTAAATAAAAGCAGATTTTTATTTTAGAAAGGTTTAGAACTTTACCATCCATATTTTTTTCTATTAAGCAGCTCTTTCATTATAACAATAATGCAGGATTACAGTGCTTTCTGCATTACTAGCTGCAATATTGCGTAGATGTATGTGCTTTGTGGTTCGTTGTTTGACTGAAATTCTATCAAGGTTAGCACTATATGTAATTACACAGAACAATTTCGATTGATGCGTTACAGGAGAAACGAGAATCGAACTACGAAAGAGACAAATATAACGATAAGAAATGGAAGCCATCATGATGTCTGAATGTCCTTTATAAAAAGATTCAGGACAATAAAAATGTGCTTTTGGGAATAGAAAGGGGTCAATTTTGCCAGCCGAGGGGTTCGACAGCTGTCCGTATTATGATCGTATGAGCTGAGCTATGTGTCCGAATTTGCGAGGTGTCCCTAATGCTAGAGGTGACTGTTATGTATCAAAGAGGCTATATCGAGCCTGAATCCCACATGTTATGGTGAACGGCTTAGTTGAAACTATTAAATTAAGTATTCTTACACACTTTCTGTCCTACAATGTATTTGGAACTCTAGAAGAAAGATACCATTGAATTTTTTTTTTGTCAAAGGGAAACTAAAACATGATCGGTTTTTTGTCACTTTTCCTCAACAAGGCAGCTTAACTTGGAAAAGTTGGCCCAATTTTTTCAAATTGCAGTTCACTTCCACTGTAGCTATCGAAAGCCAGAGATACACCTATAGTAGCGGTATAGAAGTAGAGTTATTTAAGACAAAACTGAACCATTTACCAGGCTTTTCTTTGATTTCAATGTGTTTTGTTTTTAGGTTTTAAAGTAATGGCAAAAAATGAATCTTGACATAGCTCATGTGTTGGTACTTTCTGCACTGACCATGTTGGTGTGATCTTTATTTGATTTAATTTGTTTTGCATTTTACTTATTACAACGATATTAAACATACCTTGGAAGGTAACCGTTTGGCCAGTTATGTTTAAGTTTGCAATATTATCGTCAATGGCTCCCTGCAGTCTTTGTTCAATAACCAGATCTGAGGGCAGATTGGTTCTGAAGGTGACTCTGATGGTTATCTGGACACTGGGGCCACTAACGCAGGTTGCAGAGACGTATAACACTTTTATAACATATGTGATTGAATCCCTTGTAAACAAATCTTTCAGCTGTCAAAAAAGGAATAAATTTTATTTTTTTATTTATTACTACGGTCGAAACTCCACTAACAGCCACTTTTTTGGGGCGGACAGTCCATACATTGCACAACAGCCACCTCTCTACAATGGCTTCTTTCTTCTGTCCCCAAGGTAGCCGTTGAGGAATGGTTCAACTGTATAATATCAGAATTTAAAAAAAAAGTGTCTTGTTCTCTCTGTCAGTTTTATTGTCTTTAATGATGGCCAGTTTCACTTGTGCCTACTAATTACTGTTTATGTAGAAAATATGGTTAATGTTACTATTCTGAGGCTGTCAGCTAGTATAGAAATAACAAAATCGCTCCATAAAAGCGGATGAAGCAAATACACAAGAAATGTCAGAAAAATAATGAGAAGTAAATGAAAGAACAAATAAAAAGTGAAGAAAAACTCTCTCGAAAGGCTTAAGAACCAAGCAGGATTGTACGATTTCAAGTTACCGTGGTCCGCTTTGTAATGAAATATCTCTGTCTCCCCTATTAAATTAAATGGCGTTGTCAGTGGGCCGGATGTACTAGACTTGCCCACAAGTCGACATTTCTGAGAGACGAAGGCGGATGAACTTCGATAACCCAGCCAAGACGAATTTTAAGCAAGTCTAGAAAGTGAGGCTTATAGGTTATAGGACCGGCTATATTAATTAATAAGCTCACACTTAGCTTGATCTTAATTGCAAAGATCACATACAATTTCATGTGTTTCACCTGGGATTCATTAATTCATGCAATTATTCTCATCTTCTTTCCACGATCGGATGTACAAGCCTTAGGAACAATTGGCCAGTCCTCAAGTTGGCTTGATAAACTTAATAATTGAATGGTTAAAGTCATGATAAGCTTCCCGGTCATTCCTGAATCGAACTTCAACCACTTACATTTGATCATTTAAACTCACTGCAAAGATCATATTTACTTTTTCTAAAAACAACCTCAGTTTAATTCTTCTCATTATTTTCTCACAATGTTTTTAATACAGTAATTTTTGGCGCTGAAAATACTCAGTCATATTATATTGTTCTTGAAACTATACTTACTGCTGTATCGAGGCTGTTAAAAACATCTTGAGCATCTGACGAAGAGTTATAACCGTTTACGTCACAAGACCTTGTCATATTCAGAACAATGTTAACCACGGAACCTGCAGAAATAATGGCGAATAAATAAGGGGACTAATCTTTATACATGTATATTATTCATTCCGTTGCTTCACCTGTTATGAAAAAGAGACATACTCTATTTAGGCAAACAGTTAACATAGCCCAATTCGTCCTCAAATTTTTGCCTTTAATGTAAATTATGAGTGATATTCACTTCATATAATTGGTGTTATATTTTGCAGGGGCTCTTAACAATTACATCATCATAATTTAAAAAACCAAACAAACAAACAAACAAACAAACAAATCGAACACACACGAAATTCCCGAAATAGGAACCATAAACACATCTTTAAATTTAATACTATAGACAATTTTGAGAACCATGAAAAACAACCGACCTGGTGTGACTGGTGCAATACTAGATGAGACACCGGTTGTGGAGCTGGGCGAGATTTTGACTGATGTACTTGTCGATGGGCCAACCGAGGTACTGACTGACGTACTAGGTGAAGCGCTGGTTGAGACACTGGTTGAGGTACTGGGTGACATGCTGACTGATGTCGACGGACCAACTGAGGTACTGACTGACGTACTAGGTGAAGCGCTGGTTGAGACACTGGTTGAGGTACTAGGTGACATGCTGACTGACGTCGACGGACCAACCGAGGTACTGACTGACGTACTAGGTGAGGCGCTGGTTGAGACACTGGTTGAGGTACTAGGTGACATGCTGACTGATGTCGACGGACCAACTGAGGTACTGACTGACGTACTAGGTGAAGCGCTGGTTGAGACACTAGTTGAGGTACTAGGTGACATGCTGACTGACGTCGACGGACCAACCGAGGTACTGACTGACGTACTAGGTGAAGCGCTGGTTGAGACACTAGTTGAGGTACTAGGTGACATGCTGACTGACATCGATGGACCAACCGAGGTACTGAACGACGCACTAGGAGAGACGCTGTTTGAGACACTGATTGAGGCACTGAGTGACATGCTGACTGATGCACTAGTTGAGACACTGGCTGAGACACTGGCTGAGGCACTGGCTGATACACTGTCAGAGCTGCTTTGCGACTTGGTTGCACCTAACAAAAGCAAACATTGCCTAGTGAGTTTTTATTTGGCAACACCTACACAGGGAAACAGCGTTCAAGACCTCGAGCTTTATGTGGCAAAAATTAGATAGGAAAAGATTATGAGACGTACAGCATACTTGCCGGAATTGAAGGTTCTCTACTGAGCAATTAAAACTTACCTCAACTCGTACAAATTACAGAACTGTTTTAAGTAAGTGTGGACAAACTGATGGGTACCAAAAAGAATAGTTGATTTAAAATGATACAACCCTAAGTTTGCAACGTTATAAGTGTACCTTATTACAGTCAGGTTTCATAAAATTGGAAAATTTAACGTTTTTTGACTTTCATTATAAAGTTATAATTTGCTTTTGTTTGTACAAAAGAAGAGTTTCGTTAAACAGCGTGGTATCAATTGCAATGGACGCTAAATTAGTTCTTTGCAGAACTTGCTGACTTGCTTGAATACTACTTGGCAACGGCTCGCTTGATGGCAAGAAATCTAATCATTTATTCAGATCCCAAAGCTTTGAGTGCGATCGGGCGAAGCCTACCTTGTTTAATTCAAACGTCTTTTAAGTATTCTAGTCCTGCTATTTCAGTTAATTTGCAACAGAATAAAGAGACTGCGAATACTTCGCTCAGTCACACTCACAGCTTTGTGATCAGGGCTAGAATGGAGGCTTGGATGGCTTGCCAATCAGCAAGGCGTTGCTGATAGGTATCCAAGCACGTAAACAAGTTAATTCTGCTAAGGGCGCATAATTGAAGTTGTCGCCGGGGATTTATGTTCTCGCTCTGACGACAGAGTGGATTTATCTCTGCAACTGTTCAGACATGCTCATCTCTGATATAGATCAACTTATTCTTGCCCTGATGTTTAGATTTGAGGTTATTTTGGTCTAAAAAAGTGGACTTTAAGTTTAGCCGTGTTTTTAATCAGATATAAAGACACTCATTAAACATTAATTTCGTTTGCTTTTTCTATATCAATTATTCGGGAATTTTTGAACGTAACATAATTAACAAAAAGTTGAATGCGAATTCATAGTTTTTGTTCATGATAAGTATGATTTTTTAAAGCAAATGCTCTATGCCAAACTCAAAACCTTAAGATGTTTTTTTAACACTACTTTCGTGGAGGGCATGAATTCCTGTAACCGTAAAGTCGAGCTGTTTTTCCGCTCTGTGGAGTGCATCAAAGCTTCACAGATTGCTCATTATTTTCCTTAGAAACCACCAACAACTAAGGTAAATATTTGTTTATCAACATGTTGCTTTGGCAACTTTGTACACAAACTCAATCGAACGGTGTTATGTGAAACATGAAGATGACTAAATTAAATCTAGATAAATGTTATAATGCCCTGTCATAGTGAAATGCACGAGCTTTCAAATTAAATTTATAGCAATATAATCATGAAATATTTCTCGTTGTAAGAGTTTACATCGTAAGAAAATCCAGAAGAAATTGTATTAATTCGCCGTGTTGTTGCTTTTTCGGATTCTTCACTATTGGCTACAGCAAATCAAATGTCTAAATAACTGCACCAAGGCTACGAAATTATCGATTTATAAAGGTGGTTTCTAATATTTCCGAGGTCATTTAATATTGTACGAAATGCTAATACAAGCGTGTATATGTAACACACCTGTGTTAAATATGTTACCTTATACAAGCCATTGCGGTTAGTTCCCTTTATGTCTAAAAACTGCTGAATTGTGTATTTAAAGCAAATATGCCCATCTTCTTTCCTTGCTTGATACGTTTAATTCATTCAACTAGTCTTTCAATTGGCTGAGACATGGACGCGTAAAGACATTATGCTCTATCTGTTTTTTGGTTCAATATTTGATAAGATTGCTTTGCAGCGTGCAGCGAGGTTCTTTGCTCACTGTGGAGGCTTTATAGAATGGTTACAGAGCTCTCTTTTCTACAGCTTGAAGCTAATGTTCACCTTAAACGTTTTTCAAAAGCTTTTCGGAAAAGGCGGTAAATCAAGAAGGACCAGAGATCAGACTTACCAAATAAAAAAATTGCTTGTACGAGGATCAAATAAATCCTTGCCATTGTTTGAACGATACTGCTGCCGCTTACCAATATAGAAAACCTTATGGATTATCCTCTCCACTTCGATAAGGAAACGCTTTCTAGGCAACTTTTGTCAGTGTTAAGAAATATCCGTATTGAGCCACCTGCTCTTTTGGTTACGAAGTTACAACAAATGCTTCAGTGGATTTTAAGAGTTTCAATTGCTCATTACATCAGTATAATGTCATGGCAACCGCTTGTAAATACTGCGTGATACCCTGCAGCTATAAGACTCTCAATGAGAAACTATTTCAAACCTAATCAGCCACGATGAGCTAGCCATCACAAAAGACGAAAAATGAATATTCCGTCAGAAGCTCGAGATTAATTGATTAAAGTCGTATTTTGTTGGAGCTCACGGATTTAAAAACTTGAAATGCTGCTTTAAAGTAAGAGTCACAAGAATCAAGCAGACCCCAAATATGACAATCTTTTATGTTTTATATTTCTTCCACATTTTGTACGAAATATTTCCTCGATGTTTAAATAAGTAGAATACTGATGATATATAACAGCTGAGCAGCTTAATATTAGTTTTCGGTGAAATTCGATGACGCAAAATTTTACACTATGAAGGAAATTCGTTTGCCTATCACCATTTGGCGGGTAGCTCCAATTTCTGATGTTCAATTTAGCGAGATTGTTTGTGCGACAAACACCTTTGGCAGGATGCGTGCTACCCGGAGGGTGAAAACAAATGTACCTGTTAGTCTGTTTTTCTAACTTTGCGAATAAAAATAACCCACTATATTTACATGTACTAGGTAAGAAAGAGTTATAGATATCATCTTTATCACCACCTCTAATTTATCTAGTTATTATTATTTTTTTTAAGGGTCGAGCTTAATATAGGCAAAAGTTTGAAAACGCGTACAGATGTTCCGTTTACAGTAGGAATCATGATTATGTTAATTTCATGTCGGCGTATAATATAAAACATAACGACTCATTGCTTTCACTCACGAGAGCACTTAATTTTTATTACCGGTCGCGAAAAAGCCAAGCAAAACATGAATGCATCATACTGTCAGAATTAGTTTTGATTACATTTCAGGCGACTAATATTTCCGTTTTTCCTTTAGAGACCTATTTCTCGCTCGTTGTTGTTAGATAACGAGGTCGTTTGAACTTTCAGCTTCGATTCCAAATTCTATCGTGCTTGAATAGGCACACGCAACTTTTTGTCTTTTACTTTTTTTTTAAACTCAGTGTCTTGCCATGTCTCAGTGTCTCGCAGTGTGTATGTCCTCGAATCATATTAAACAAAACTATACTGAAAAACAAAGGGGAGATTTGAGACAGGGTTTTTGAATGTGTGAAGCTATAACAGTATTTGTAAACAGTAAGCTAAAATAAGATTTTAATTGAAATCTCTTTGAATATAAAATGAGCGACATTGTTCACGTGATAAGAACCTGTTTTTATTGTTTTGCTCTATCTTGGAACGCATGCAATTTACAGAGCCAGTTAAGTTAAACCAAGCTTTTATCCGTCAGGTTACTTGGGGTTATGATAACAGCCTTTATGGCTTTCATAATAAAGGGGGGCCCTTTAGCGGACGTTTAAGTCGTCTTCCGTTTATAGACGGAGCTTATATAAAATTAATACCTATCAGCTCATAAAAGGGCAGCGGATTACTAAATGCATATGGGATAGCATGCACAAAAGAACACTTTGCAATATCTCAGGAATTAAACTCATAAAAAGAATTTCATCCTTTAATATTCTAAAACATTTTTTGACCTGAAGGCCGCACTGATGCTGAGTTCACTCTCTTTCAAAGGAAACAGAGAATTTTCTTCTTCAAAGTGAACCGGTTTGCCAATATCGCGGGGACATTAACCCGCATCAGCGTGTAACAAAATTACGCGTGCAACAGTTTTGAAGCACCGTCTCATCAAACTTCTACTTCTTTATTTTACTTGTCAGTACTTGGCTTCACCTTGACCATGTACGCACAAGGCCATAAATACTTTACTGTTAAAAGTGGGCGTGTTAAAACAAAATAAATACTGTCAACCAGAAAACGGCGCTTTTTACAACGCAAAACTGCGCAACGTCCCATCCTTCTTTCATAACCATTCTCTTTCAATAACCTTTCTCGAAGAGAGAAACTTGTTGCTGCTAATGACCTCATATATGCAAGGCAGTGACACTGTATCAATCAAGCGAAGACTGAGAGTGAGACTCTTGGCAATTTTTTAAATGACGGTTCCAAGACAACAAAGAAAACGAAAGAAAAGAAAGTTTAAGTCAATTAGTGGCCATAGCTGGGTAAAAGTAGGAAAACAGAAGAGAAATAGCATGAGTACTGCATCGATAAGTACTGTTATGATTGAGTTTTATCTTTGCTCCAATTCTTTTAGAATTCAATTATTAATTATTTCATAAAAAGTTATTTTATGGCATGTATAGAGGTAGAGGAAGAATAAAAACTGATCCAAAAATAACATTGAATCACACATTACAGCTAAGGTGTTGATCAAACGTTCTTGCCACCTTTCAGCCAGGCAAAAGTTAAAGATTGTTAAAGAATGGTGGCGATTCATGTTGCTTGAATTTATTTACTTTCTCGTTCACACATGATGAATGTAAAAGAGATCCCTAATCAGTGAGTTCACTTTCCCTGTACTACTCTTTTCGAATGACATAGTGGTTCCTTTTACGTCTTTCTCTATGCAATTGATAAGGAAGAATGAAGGAGACAAGGCTCGTGGCTTTACGTCAGCGCCCACGCAACGACCAACGCGATGACCTATTGTAAATGACGTGAGTTGTTGAAGACGTGCTTTGGGGCATGTTCATTTGTGCTGTTACCCGCCATTAAATCTTTTCTTACAAAAGAACATGAATAATAAAATACAACAGTAATGATGAAGCACCGGTCCACAACAATTTATTGGTTTGTTGTTTATGCCCCGATAACCAGCCAGCATGCATGGCCTTGACCTCGCACATCACGCAAGAGCTTAAAAGAACGTGAAAGTTAATTTTGCTATAGCGTTTTAAGTCGGCGTGTTAAACAAGCTGAGAATAATCCTTGGCCACAGCGCTTGCAACAGAAAACTACTTCCTTTCATACGAGGTTGGACTAACGGCTTAAAACATCGTGGGTGCTGGACCTTAACGGAACTCTTTCGCAATCACGAAACCGGCGAAATAAGGAAAAACGAAAGTAACTTTACAATAATGGGTGCGACTGATCAAGAGAGGAAAAAGCTCACCTTGCTGGAAATTTTTCATTTGCTCAGCGTTTTCTTAAGAGAGCTAAGTCCCAGAGAAATGACTCTAAGAATAATTAACAATTATTCCTCGAGCCCGAATGGGCTCTGAGTCTTCATGGGCTATTGACTCAGAGGACATGAGGGCAAAAGGAATAATTGTTTTAGTAAAATCCAACTAGTTGGTCAAAAATATCGAGAATAAAAAAATTCTAGCTAGTTAAAGCTAGACTTTAATCCTTTTTTGCCGCCAAAAAGCGCGCGCTTTTCGCTACTAGTAGGCTTTATAACATAGCGCGCGTGCTTACCCTATATAAGTCCTATTGAGCCGCTATGAACAAAATCTTTATTTACGCACGCCCGTGCGTAAATAAGATGACGTGAGCTTTTTTTTTTTTACCTGGCTGCAAAGTTGTCGTCTTTTAAGTTGCAGTGCACTTTTCCTTCTCTTTAAAATATGGAAGAAACCAGCGAAGAACTGCCCAATTTTTCTATCGGCATTGACCTTTTAGGTCCCGATCCAACAAGCAGCAAAAATAAAGCCGAATTAAAAAAAAACTCGCAAGTTGAGCGTTTCGTGAATTTGTCGAAGAGGAGCTGCAGCAAATTTTGGGTGAAAGACATTCACTGGGAACAGAACAGACACCAACTGCGCATCAACAACATTTAAAGGAAAAATTTCCGTTTTTATTTTTTTTTAAAATTTGTTATGCACTTTGTTATCTCCGTACAATCCGACTTAACCAGGAAGATTTATCTCGCAATAACAACACAAATTACACAAGAAGACATAAATTATTACTCATAAAAACAACTGCTGCCAGGTCTTCTCAAGAAGCCGTAATGACCAGCCAATGTTCGTAAATGAATATAAGTTTAAAGAAGGACGACAGTCGTCTTCGCTAAAAAACATGTTTTCTGGATTTCGCCGAGCAAGACGTAAACATCTTTTCAGCAAATCCAAACCATACTCCACGACTTCTTACGAACATGTTAGTATTTTAACTTTAGGTGAACTTTAAGACTCTTTTACCTTTGTTTCTGCTTAGTTTCCATTGATCGTTAACGAATAAAGAAGCAAATTTTCTTTCTCACTTTTACAGAAAGAATATTTTCATTCAAACTAGACGATTGTGGCGTGTTCGTAATCAGCCAGTATAATCGTTTGTTATTGTGTCGCGCGTTACGAGAATTTTGCAGTTAATCAAAAAGCAAGCATTTTTGTCAGCTGTGTTATAAAAGAATTTGCTCATGCTTTTAGCTGTGCGTATATCGAGTTATGGATGCACTTGGGAAGCTTGGAGAGCACTCAAGAAGCTAGAGTTGCACTCGGCTATCGCCTCGTGCAACTCTTACGCATCTTTCGTGCTCTCCAAACTTCCCGCGTGCATCCATAACTCGAATTACGCACGCTAAGCATGAACAAATTCTTAAATAACATATAGCCTAGTAGTAGCTCAACCAATCGGAAGGCAGCATTGATAATAGACCACAAGTTGGATTTTACTAATACCTGACATGCCAAGTAGTCTGCCGCCTCTAATGAATGACTCCTTTAATACATTCAACCTTCTTCCCCTCCTCCACCTTAAAGAGAGGACTCTTGTAACCAGCCTGCAGAAGTGTCGATTTGGTTGACGGCTTCCCCTGGAAGGAGTAATGGAATTGCACTAAGGATATTGTGGATCTTTTTCAAAAACCGTTCCGATGAAAATTTTGCTCCAAGCAGTGCAAATACTATCAAAATAAATTTAACCAATAACTAGTTTTACACAAAAAGTCTACATAAACAAGTTGAGAGAGATCACGTAAGCTAAACTAAACAGCATCTCATACCTAAGAACTACTAAATAACTAAGAACAAAAATAACCATAATAATTGTAATAATAATAATGATAATATTGATAATGATGATAATGATTATAACAATA